AGCCTCACTCTGTCACCTGGGCTAGAGTGCAGTGGTGTCGTCATAACTCACTGCAGCCTCAACCTCCTGAGCTCAAGCGATCCTCCAAACTCAGTGCTCGGCCTGTACATTCTTTTTTAAACAAAAATGGGATTCTATTTTATGTACTGTTTTTCCTTTATCACTTAACAAATGATATAAATCTTTCCATGTCAGAATACATGGCTCTCTAGATCATTTTTTTTAAAGGCTACATAAAACGCATCATGATTTTTTTTAACTGGCTAAGGAAGATTATTTTTCCATTTTACTCATTTGTATTTTGTAATTCTCCAACAGTGAAGAAATATTACCTATGTAAAAAAGAGATCACAAATGATTTTCTAAAAACTAGTATTGAAAGGTAATGTAACAACACTGTCAATGTAAACACAGCTAGTTTCACTGTTGTTAATTACTTTCTGGTTCTTGTTCCTGGTTATAACTATGCTGAAATAATCCTTTATCATATTGTATCTGAAACATTTGCCCATGTTACTACAGACTTCTCTTAAAGGTTTGTATAAAGGGGTAGAGGACATGGTGAGGGGGAAGAGAGCTGGGCTAGTCCGTTGGGCAGTTTCTAGGGCAGAGTTCCAGGGACAGACCCCTTAACAGTCTGGCAGAGGCCCTAGGCCCCTTCTCAGAATAATACTTTCAAATGCATAAAATAAAGTCTGTAGGGTTATAAAAGAAATGAATTACACTGAAATACAGTTATCAAAATAAAAATATGAAATATAGTAATGTATGTGCTTCTTGTGCATTAAGTAACAAAGTGTAACAGTGGATCTAATTTCTATCATAATTTCAAAGTAGTGACATGTCATGACATCTACAACACAATAATATTATTTGAAAACATCTATGATTTCTATTAGTGACAAGTCTAGTTTCACTAATGCAACTGTGGTACATTGCATACACTGGTAATTGAAGGAAATGCTACATTTCATTTGAAGTTAGTGAAGATGTCATTTTTGTTCCTACCCAAGTAGTTCACGGACCTCCTGAATTCTACCAGGGTCAGTGGGTTCTAGGTCAACAGAACCCTGCTCCAGAGAATTTCGACATGCATCAGCCTGGGAAAGGTGAAGGAAGAAAATTATTTCTAAATCTCTTTCCCCCTTTCATTTTGTTCTATCTCTTCTACCCAAACCACTGGCTTGTCCTTCAGCTCTCATGACTAGTAGGATCATTCAGAATTAATTTGGGGTTTCTCCCATCTGTAGCCATCAGCCCAGCCCCCAACCACTTCCACTCTCTCAATATTTTCTGCATGTACATACAAAGAAGCCCATCTTGCCATCTTCCAACTGAGCACGTTTCATATTTGCACTAGATTTAACACGCACTCCTCCCTTTCTTCCTTCCTGACAGTTACAAGGTTGTTGAACAAGTCCAGTCAGTTCTGAACGAAGGAAGCTGGATAATCTGCCTACTTATTGGAGGCAGCCTAATCCAAATAGATGTTTTTCATCACTGAAGGTATTTTCTAGGACTCTGCAAATCCAGAGGATCAGTCTCCTTCCTTCACACAAGCATCGGCACTGGATTCATTTCTGAAATCACTGGCACCAACCAGGCTCTGGTTCTTGGCCCAGGTTTCAGAAATTATCTGAGATTGTGCTCTTTTCCTTCCACCAATAATTATATGCATATTGCATTTGTGTGGCCACCTTGTGCTTCTCAGAACTAATGTTCATTCATATACAGAAATACTGTTATCGCAGAGCCAGGATGTGGACCCAGAGCTCCCATTTCCTAATTCAATGTGTGTTCCATGATGCCGTGATTCAATTATAACACAGGATTCCTTAAGTGCAGTAAACGTGTGTCCCCCTTAGGCAAACATGAAACTCTCACACTCTCCTTTAATATTGTTTGAACATTTAAAATACTTAAAATATTGGGCTAAAAACAAATCAAATCAATGGGAATTTAAAGAAATACTCTTTGTTTGATTCTTAATAATGATATCTATTTAACTTCAATCGTGCAGTACTCTACAGTGATCGAGTCGTCCCAGTTTGCCTGGGACTGTCCCAGTTTTAAAACTTCACCTGTGCTGCTGCACGAGGGTTTGGTTCCTCTCCAGTTAATGCTACATTAAAAGGTCACATTTGCCAGACATAATAACAAAATCACATGCTTATTTCTCTAAATGACTTTTAAAGTTAAAAATATGAATTGAGGCCAGGTGTGGTGGCTCATACCTGTAATCCCAGCATTTTATAAGGCGGAGGTGGGAGGACAGCTCAAGGCCAGGAGTTCAAGATCAGCTTGGGCAACACAGTGAGACCTGTCTCTACAAAAAATTTAAAAAATTGGCTAGGTGCATGTGCCTGTAGTCCCAGCTACTTGGGAGGCTGAGGCAGGAGGATCACCGGAGCTCAGGAGGAGTTCAAGGCTGAAGTGAGCTATGATCGCAAGTGAGTCCTGGGACGATTGCTCTGTGGTGTTTTGTTTTTGTTTTTTTAATTCTAGAAGCGAAGTATTCCCCGTCTCCAATGTCCTGGAGTCACTCTGCCTTGTGTTTTTGTCTAGCTCTGTTTTGACCCCCAACCCCACTCTTCTCCCAACACCTCCCCTTCTTGGGGGCGGGACTCTTTGATCTTAGCTCAGGTAGAAACTAAAGGAAATCCTAGATTAGGCCCTGATGGCCAAAGAATGTCTCCCATTCCTGGGAAGGAGCACTCAGCTGGAATGAGATAAGAGCATGGATTTTATGTTTATGGAGAAGCCTGCATTTTGTGATATTTCTGTAAATGTTGAGTTAATCAATATAGGGACTGAGTAGTATGATTTTGATAGAGGAAAACCAAACAGATTTGTAATCATTGCATATGACAATAGGGCTTAGGGTGACCAAACATCTCAGTTTGCTCAGGACTGAGGGATTTCCCAGGATTTGGGATTTTTGGTGATAAAATAGGGAAACTTCTGGGCAACGGGCATGAGCTGGTCACCCTAGTGGTAAATCATAACAACAACAACAATAATAATAATTTACTGTGTGTCAGGCACTGTTCTCAGCACTTTATATTCATTTACTTCTCAACCAACTCAATGAGAGACGTTCTACATTTATTTCGGTTTTTTTTTGAGAAAGAGTCTCGCTTTGTTGCCCAGGCTAGAGTGATTTATTTCTGTTTTATAAATGAAGAAACCAAGCATCAGATAAGTAACTCACCCAAGGTTACATAGTCCTGGAGAGTGGAGTTGGGATTGAAACCCAGGTCTGTCTGACTTCTAAATCCATGTTCTTAAATATCAGGATAATTTTAGGCTCTCAAGGATTATTGTGTTGAATTGGGTGGCTCTGGACACATATCATATCTAAGACAACTTCCCAAACTGGAATGAGGTTTAGAGAAAAAATTTTTTGATACATTATGCTCAATCATTTCTGTAAATGAAATAGAATGTTCCAAAATAGACATAAATACAAATAGGAACTTACTATTTGCTAAAGATGGGACTTCAGTGGGGGAAAGGTAAATTATTCAATAAATGTTGCTAGGACAATTATGTAGCCATCTGGAAAAAAATAAAGCTAGATCCCTATTTCATACTTTATACTAAAATAAATTCCAAATGGAGCAAAGGTTTATGTGTAAGAATAAAATCAAAGAAATACTAGAAGAAAGCATGCGAATGGAGAAGATCTAAGTATGGTACAAAATTCAGAAGCCCTAAAAGAAAAATTGATAAATTCAGCTACATTTAAAAAAGACTAGCATGGCAAAACAAAGTTAAAATGATAAAACAAACTGGGAGAAATATTTTCAATGCTCACAAACCAAGAACTAATTTCCTTAATAGGTAAAGCATTTATATAAATTATAAGAAAAAGATCAATAAACACACAATAAAGAAATAATGAGAATCTAAACAGTCAGTTAACAGAAGAGACTGATTCCTAAACACTTGAAAAGATTTTCAGCTTCACTGATAATAAAAGAAATGGAAATTAGGACTACAATAAATCAGTGTCCCAACCACTGGATTGGCAAAGATCAAAAAGTTTGATAACTCTGTACTGGTGGGGCTATAAATTAGTACAATCTCTTCAGAGGGTAATTGGCAATGTCTATCATAATTTAATACAAACAATAATTTTTGACTTGACAATTCCACAGAAACAGTCACTCAAGTAGGAAAATGATAGGCAAGAATTTTTGTTGCAGTATTTTTGGTAATTGGAAGCAACCTGCACATCCATCAAAGGGAACTGGTTAAATACATTGCATTATGTCCACATGGTAGAGTGGAATACTATGCAGCCATGGAAAAGAATAAGGAGACACTATCTGTAGGGATAAGAAATTATCTCCAAGATATATTGTTAAGAAAACAAAATGTAGGACCATGTGTAAAGTATGCACTATTTGTATGTGTGTGTCCTGAAGAAAGGTAGATAATATATTGTACGCACGTATGTATGTTTATAAAGGAATAAAAATCTCTAGAAGAAACTGGTAACAGTGGTTCCTATATGGAAGGGAGCTAGAGACTTATTTTTGTACCTTTTAATATTTGTAATATGTTAATGCCTTACTACAATCAATCAATGAATCAAACCAACAAATAAATAGAAATTTTAAATATTAAATATAAGAGAGACCCAGGGCTGGCATCACGAATATGAATGTATTCATATGTACATTCAACCTATGTACTTGCAAAGGGCCCTGCCCCGGGCTTCATGCTCTGATGTTGCAATCTTGAAACTCCTAGTAATTATTTAACAAGGGGACTTTCATTTTCATCTTGCACTGGGTCCTGTAGATTATTTAGCCAGTTATGGTGAGACCCTTGGTTTATAAGTGCTGTCTGAGACTTAGTCCTGATTTAAAATGCATTAACTTCAAATACATTTTTATTTTCTTCTGGCCACTGATGACTACATTTAAAAACTAAATATCTAAATGAATATTTGCAATTCAGTGCAAACAAGCAAAATCAAAAATACTTGCCTGATCAGTAAAAGCCACAGACTTGCTGGCAGGAATATCTCCTCTCAAATGCCTCAGATGATGAGGTGTCCCCTGCCTAAATTGGAACAGCCATTTACAACTCTTCAAAAACTACCTTACATTTCAGCTTTCTGTGAAAGGAAGCTTTGCACAATAAAAATCTCATGTGGTTTCTCCCTGCCAAGCAGACTGAAAAAAAAAAAAATCATGGTTCTGTTAAAATATATATGCATGAGATATTTTGCTTTTAGGAATTTTATTATGATAACTTTGGGAGGCAATAAACAATCAACAGCACTAGGCACTCATTCCTACCTGGCCAGGGTTGCTTGGGTCTGCCCATCTCAAGTCCAAATAGTCCTTTCAATTTGGGCAGTTTAGGCTAGAGATGCTTATCTGTGAATGAATGGATTGTAAACATATTTTATTATAAGGCTAATATAAATGCCAGAAACACTACAGGAAAGTGAACCAAAGACTTATCAAAGATAAGGAGGCAAGAAAGATGCTGCTTAGGCAACAGTGACGTGCATTTCTTGTGCATTAGTCTCTTAGCTGTAAAATGTGTGAAATACTTCCTACTTCACAAAGCCATGCCCTGGATTAAATGAGAGAATGGCTGTGTGCATGCTTTGAATACTACTAATTACAAAGTTAGCATCATACATTTTATTACATGAGGATATTATTTTGAGTGGGTACTTGTGTTTTTACTGCCAGTGCTGTCTTGAATGAGAGGGGACTGCCACAGATAATGCCTACAACACTAACTAAAAAAAAAAAACAAAACTTTTTTAAGTTACAAAAGTAAAACGGGGCCTCACAATGTAAAATAAACAAATAGCTCAGAAGGAAATAGGGTGAAAAATGAAAGTCCTCCTTCACCTTCTGCCACAAATCCTACTCCTTTGTTAGCATAATTTGAATTCTTCCAGGAAGTTTAAAAAAAATCTGAATAATTTAAAATAAATCCATTAGAACACTGTGAGATAGATCACACACCCCCCCCACCTTTAGGGAACATCATTGTTTCTCATGGGAGAAGACCCTCACCACTGAAGCCTTTGCAGAAGCGGAGATGCCTCAAACTCCTAATCCTGTTTCACTGAATGAGTTGTTCAATGCCATTCGCTTACTGGCCATTAAGAATCTTTACAAGTTGATCATTTAAAAAAGTAGACTCTGCCATTAGAGTAATCCTTGGACAGATTATTGGATATCCCCTTAGGGCATAAGGTCTCAGGGACCAGACAGTGGGTAACCCTAATCATTTAAGGGAAGTAGTAATCTTGAGTCACCTGTTATAAAAATAACAATTTTGAAAATCACTTTACCTGTCTTTGATTTTCACAAAGACCCTATTAGGTAGGCAGCATCATTAGGCCCATTTTATAGATGAAGGATCTGAGGCACAGAGCGGTTCAGTGGCTTGTTACATGCTGGAGGTAGCAGTCTGTACTGTAAGGCCCCTGGTGGTGGGTGGTCCCCATGCAGGCTTGTGGAAAGCACGAACAGCTACCCTCACAGAAGTTCACTGTTTCTCCAAGTCTGCCTATATCAAAACTCCCAGAGGCTTAAAAATGCAGGTTTCTGGGCTTTATCCTAGACCTGTGGAATCAGTAATGTGAAATCCAGGAATCAACACTTAAATTTTTTTATATATAAAATATATATAACATAAAAATTTACCTTTTTAATTATTTTCAAGTGTACAGTTCAATGACATTAAGTACATATACATTGCTATGCAACCATAATAACCATCCATCTGCAGAACTTTTTCATCTCCCCAAACTGAAACTGTACCCACTAAACAATAACTTCCCATTGCCCTCTCCCCCAAGTTCTTGGTAATCACTATGCTACTTTCCTTCTCTAAGATTATGCCTATTCTAAGAACCTCCAAAAGTGGAGTCATACAATATTTGTTCTTTTTGTGCCTGGCTTATTTCACCTTGTATAATGTTTTCAAGGTTCATCTATGACATAGCATGTATCAGAAGTCCATCCTTTTTAAGGCTAAATAATATTCCATTGTATGCATATACTACATTCTGTTTATCTACTCATCTGTTGATAGATATTGGGTTGCTTCCACCTTTTGGCTATTGTGAATAATGTTGCTATGAACACTATGTACAAATATCTATTTAACTCCCTGCTTTCAATTCCTTTGGGTATATATCTACAAGTGGAATTGCTAGATCGTGTGGTAATTCTATGTTTAATTTTTTTTCTTTAATCAACATGATATAGATGTCCAGCTATATGTTTGGTTTTTTGAGGAACCACCACATTGTTTTGCTCAGTGTCTACATCATTTTACATTCTCACCAGCAACATATAAGGGTTCTAATTTTTCCACATCCTTGCTAACACTTTTATTATTTTTTTATAATAGCCATGCTGATGGGTATGAAGTGATGGAATCTGGTCTTTTAACATGAGCCCCCGCATGGTTTTTATTTAAACTAAAGTTTGAGAATTGCTACTCCTTAGAAAACTTATCAGCAGGTGAGCCTTCTAAGTCTGAGAAGCATAGCAAGGATTTAGCTACAAGTATCATCAATAGTAGATTGAGAATGTTTGACTTATTCCCCCTATGCCCCCAAATAAAAAGTTTTTTAAAAAGGAGTGGTCTTAAACTACCAATTTACATGGTCTTAAGTTTAAGTCAATGGTCTTAAATCTACCAATGAAAAAGTTGGTAGATTAAGAGAAACAGGGATACCGTTTCTCATCTTGGCAGCCACCCTGAATTGGGTCAAAGCAAGGAAAAACGTACTTCAAACCAAAGAGCTCCCCACAGTAGCCTCAGTCAATACTTTGAAACAACAAATAACATTTAGCAGCACAAAGGAAGAAAGGAGTTCCTTTCTGGGAATGTCTGGCTGAGTAAGTATAGAAGCTCTGCTGCCGCAGAAGGGGTGAACTGCCTCCTTGACTGGTGAACCAGTCAAGGCAGAGAAGAGGAAAGGAGGCAAGTGACAGGAGCTGCATAAAAGGGTGGATCTGTGAGCCTGTGACCTTGGGTTTCCCTTCACCTGAAAGCTTCTGTAATACTTAGGTTTATATTCACCTAGTTTTAGGAGGGGAAGTTGTGCTGGTAAGAAGGGGAAACAGGACCCTGGCTTTCAGGTGGTGAAAGTGTGCCCCCTAGTGGTTGTTCTCTACAACATTCAAGTCATTAAAGATTCCCAGGTGAGGCAAGGAATGAACTGGTGGAGGCGTCAGTGACTCAGCCTTTATTTTACTCATTACAGTTGTCTGGAATGGGGAGAATTTTGAAAATACTCCCCTCAACCCTATTTCCTATGGTGATCTGGATGCTGGCAGTGCTTTCTGCAATGAAGAGCGACATCCTCATTTCTTGAGTGCTTACTTATCACACCACATTCCCCCCGCACCCACTGACAGCTAGGTTTCATTACTGATGCTATTGTTGTTACTATTCCCATTTAATGGGTGAAAGAATGGAGGCTCAGAGGGATTAAGTGACTTTTCCAAGGCCACGAGCTCCACTCTCGAACCATAGCTCCTCTCAACATGTAAGCAGATAACAACATAATGGAAAAGAAGCAATAAGATTATTGGAAGGAAAATCCATGCCTCTTTGAGTTTTCTGCCATGGCAAGAGGAAAGCAGAGATATACACTGGAAAATAACTTAGTGTATTTTTTTGTGCTATACAAAAAGGCTTACCACAGTATGAAGAATTAAGCAGCAGATCTCTAATCTTTAGAGTTTGATGTAGCACAGAGTACCTTCTCTCTCTACCAATGTCCCTGGTGAGGCCAATGAGAGAGATGCTCAGTAGATGGACCACAGCCCGGCCCTGGCTGCCACCTCTGTGTCTACAACATGTCTCTCTGGGGCCTTCAACCCTGCTGGCCCGGCGGTGAGAACTTGCCTACTGATGTCTAATCTATAGGGAATCCTTCTTCCTTTATAAAAATACTGGATTGGACTCTGAGAGTGACCTTTAAATCTATGGCGGAATGTAATCTCTCCGAGTCTAAAAGGCAATACTGCCTCCCTGCAACACACAAACAATTCAACACTTTACAGTCAGGAAGTATCTTACAATCAATGTCAAAAGAAACTTTCCTGCCACTACTTCCTCTGCCCCAGCCCTGTGAATTGGTATTAAATTGATGGCATTTTTGACGATCAAATCCCTCAAAGCCAAGGAGAGGGGAAAAAAGAATGTCTGGGAGGGATTGGGCTGGGTTTCCAACTGACTTGGATCCCATAACCCTCTTGACTGTTCATCCAAGTCCTGAGCCCAGGCTGAAGCCTTTCAGTATGAAAAGGACTCGCCATGAATGCATCAAAATGCACACTTAACAGCTGTGCAACAGCAATTCCAGTTCTCACTATAATATATCTCAAGAGAACTGGAAACATATTTTCACACAAAAGCTTGTTCACACGAATGTTCATAGGACCATCATTCAAAATAGTCATAAAGCAGAAATAGCTGAAATGCCTGCCAACTGACGGATAAACAGAATGTGGCATATCCATACAATGGAATATTATTTAGCTATAAAAAGGAATGAAGAACTGACACATGCTACAAAATGAATGAGCCTTGAATACATGCTCAGTGAAAGAAGCCAGTCACAAATATCAGACACTGAATGATTCTATTTACGTGGAATGTCCCCAGTCAGCAAATCCTAGAGACAGAAAGTAGATTCGTGGTTGTCAGGGGCTGGGGAAAGGATAAAAGGGAGTAGCTGATAATGGATATGGGGTTTCTTTATGGAGTGATAGAAATATTCTGGATTGTTTCTATCCAGAAATAATTAGTGTAGTAGTAGTGATCGTGCAACTCTGTGAATATACTAAAAATCACTAAACTGTACAATTTAAAAGAGTATCTGTACTTAAAAGTTTAGAAGACAAAAAAAAAGAACTATATAAATAATTGTATATAAGTTATACCTCAATAAAAATAATAATAAAAGGGAAGAGGGCTTTAGTAGCTTCCTCTTTTTTTCCCCTCAGACATATTTTATTGTCACTTAAAGTCAGTAGCAGAACTGGGAAACTTCCTCTTTGACTCTGGAAAGCTAGTCAGGAAACACCTGTTTGCCCAAAGGATGGGACAAATTCCTATGAGGCCAGGATATTTCAGGTTCCAAAGCTTCCAATCGGGAGAACTGCAGGGACTGGGGACATCCCACGCTCTATCTCAAGGCATCTGACATCCCCAGGTCAAAAGGGAGCATCCTTAGGGACACATGAATCCATCCTAACACACCTGAAGGGCTGTCATGTGACAGCAGGATTGGGCTTCTGAGTGGACTCCAGGGGGCAGAAATAGGACCAGTGGATGAAGTGACAATATAGCACTGTCTGGTCAATAAGAAGAAAGAGTCCCGAGGGGCTAGAGCTGTCTAGATACTGAGTGGGTCACCCCATGCGTGAGTGTCCAATCTGGGCTGCATGTGGGCCAGGCCGGAGAAGCACCTCTGGGACCTTGTGTATTTATGTGTCCCTGGCAGGGGACTGGATGTTCCAGCACTGAGACCCTAGGCGTCAACGTGAAGGATGAGAGAAGAAAACAAGGGAAAAAGAAACTGCTGAGAAGGGAGAGTCTGGAGGGGGTTCCTGGCAGAATCTGTGATGAGGGCATCACTGTGGGGTGGTCCCTCTCAGGCTGAAGGCAGGTGGGCACTGAGGTGAAGAAGGTGTAGCTGTCCGCAGAGCCAGACTATAGACTAACCCTGTTTGAGGGGAAGTTATTCTAATGCAAAGCCTCAAAGGCTCTCAGGAAGTATTGGGCAGTGATAAAGCACAAGGTCTCTAGGTCCAGCCAGTCCTGGGTTCAAACCCTGACCTACTACTTAATAGCTATGAGACTCTGGGCAATGCATTAAGATCTCTGGGCCCCATTTTCCCTGGTTAAAAAAAATGGAATAATAATGGAACCTACCTCACAAATTTGTTCTGAGGATTATATGAAATAATACAAATAAAGCACTTAGCCCTATTGTATATTAATATTAATGGTAGCTGTTGCCAACTGACCTAAACAAATTTAATTATGTACAAACCTTTAGGTTATTTTTTGGTAGATATAGGTAGCTGCCAAACATTATGGGTGGTTGAGGGCTACCTACTCCCCCTACAACTTCACACAAGTTTCAGGTTAATATCTGCCACATTTTAGACATGTTTAGACACACTTTTATTAGCCAGTAGATGCAAAAACGATCTGTTTTGAAAGCTAATTATAGCTCTGTCCATCCAGGTGCTCTAAGCATGCCTTGCATGAAAAGTTTGCTTGAGGGGGACCCCCTAATCTAGAGGAAGGATTAGATTAACCTTCAGGCTTTGTGTAACTCAGATTTTTTTGACGTCATGACTGGACACAAGACCATTTCAGAATCTAGCTTCAGATTCCATCAGAAAGGTGGAATGTATGGGGCCCAGCAGATTCTTTTACCTTACCATGCAAGGGCAGGGAACGGCTGGAGACTCTTCTAGCCAACACGCATATCTCGGATACCACTGATCTTAATGATAAGAACTCATTATTTTTTCCCCCTAGTTGATTTGACAGGTGAGTAACTACTACTACATGCTCCTTAGAGGAT